GGGCAACAATAGTTTGATCATTTTAAGTGCTTTAATTGTCATAGCCAATTTTAAAATGAGGAATTAGTTGCCAAAGAAGGAAAAATTTACAGGAGGCAAAGCTGGATATGATTATTCGTGTCAGTGAAGTTTAGACAAGTGCATTACAAAATATCTATACAACGGAGGGCTCGAATGGAGATCTGACAACATACTATTGGCCACCCTACACAGCATTACAAATACCTTCCATCTCTTAGGTTACCCATTAAATAACAAATAGTATGTCCTGTTAATTGTTAGTGTGTTCTGACCTTAGACTTTGACCAGGTATTTAATAACACCATCTGCTGTCTACGTCTGCAGTACTATTATTTTTACATACGATTACTCTTCTTTCTTCATAAACAAGGCTGTAATAACAGTGCTAAATGGTAGCAGAACCAAATGAGATTTAAATTACACCATCCAAATAAAACATGAAGGGAGAACAGAACACCAAAAATATGTCAAACTTATTTTACTGGCTTAAATCTAAAACTCCTAACGTGCTAGAAGGTTGATAAACTGTAGATCAAGTCTTGCTGTCCTTACTTGGGGAAAGTCCTATTGTTTTGCCTGAGAGAGGACTGAGGGTGAAATTTACCCCTGTGCAGGGTGCCCGCACAAGCCCTGCATTACTTGAGCCCTCAAAATAGGCTGGCCCTTTGGACAGAGATGAAGTTCACCCTGGAGGATGAGTTCTTTATTTGCATACCCCCAACTCAAAAAACAAACAAAACAAAACAAAACAGGAAATAATATTTTAAAGAGACACTGTTCAGTATTTTAGGCCACAAATAATTAATCACTTGAAATTCAAATATTCCTCCTAATTATATCTATAATGGTATTTGGTTTTAAAAAATACATGTATTTAGCTCTGAATGACCAAATTTATAATAGCCCACATATGCAAAGGCCCCAGTCCAGCTCCCATTGAAACTGATGGGACTTTTGTCATTGCTTCTAGTGGGGGGCAGGATCAGGTGCAAAAAGAACTGTGCATTTATCTATTGCATCAGGGTCTTATATGTAGCGTTGCCAACTCTCAATTTTATTGCGTCACAATATTTGGGATTTTCCTTAAAACCCAGCTCCTTGAGTGAAACATCGACCCTACTGAAGTCAATAGCAAAACTTCCCTTGACTTCAATGGGTCAGACTTTCACCCCAGGATTGGGTGATTTTTGTGAGAGTCCTTTTTTGTTTTACTTTAATAAAAGCTGAAAGTGTCTATCCCTTATAGTTGTGGAGAAAAGCTTGAAAACCTTAAAGGCTTAAAAAACAGAAGGCAAATAAAAAAAATCCCAAGGTGATTTATTTTTTAAAGCCAATCTCATGATGTTTAGGGAACCTGAATGTTTTGTCATTGGCAATATTGCTATTGGTGCACATCACTGTAGTATCTCAGTGTGTATGCATTATAATAATGAATCATGCATCTCTCCAGCTTTATTTGTGCATGAGACCTACCAAGTGTACTTGGCTTTTTTACTACTGAAATGGAGAGGTTAACTTTTAAAACCAAACATATGAATGTAATCAGGAGGGCATGTAAAATATGGGGGCTGAGCTATTTGACAGCATTTGAAAGAGGCATGTCTTAACATGTTTTCTGTTAGAAAGGATTTTAAGCATTACAATATGTCAAATGAGGTATCTGGTTACATGGGAAAAGGGTTTCTTACCTTTTCCTCCCACTATATTCAGGAGGAAGGCATCTAGAAGTCTGATTCTGAAGCCCTAAT